GCAGTGTTTCGTGGCCTTAACTTCACGAAACACTGCAATGGTCAAAAAATTCCAAAATTTTCGGTAATATGGGCCTGGCATGGACATAGATGCCAGAATTTTGGAATTTTTAGATTTTTTTGAGCATTACAGGGTTTCGTGAAATTGGGGATTAGAAATTTTGGAAATTTTTGAGCATTACAGTGTTTCGTGCATCCCATGATCCACGAATGCGTAGGCGTAGATCTTGGGAGGGGGGGCGAGCATATATATATATATATATATATCTATATATTTATTTATTTATTTATTATTTTTTATTTATTTGTTTATTTATTTATGTATTTATTTTTTTATTTATTTATTATAGAGCGGTCGCAATGTGTATATATATATAAGCGCTATATATATATGTGTATATATATATACATACATATATATATATATGTATTTTTTCTTTATTAATAATGTAGGAGCCGCGGTCGATGTCAGCTGTCAGAGCGACTCCTATGAGGCTCACGAGGCCGAGACGTGGAACTCCACCGACCAGGCGAGCTCAAAGCGCACCTGGCACCGAAGGAACCACGGTTTAGGGTTTGGGGTTTAGGGTTTAGGGTTTAGGGTTTCGGGTTTCGGGTTTCGGGTTTAGGGTGTAGGGTTTAGTGTTTAGGGTTGAGGGTATCGGTATAGGGCTTAGGGCTTGGGGTTTAGGCTTCATGGAGGTTTTTTCTTTGCACACCCTTTTTCCACCGCGAGAGTGCGAAAGCGCTGGACATGCTACGTAGGTGTTGCACTCACTTCTTTTCCTTATGGTTGAAGGTTTAGGGTTTCAGGTATCTGCACTCTCAGGCGCCTTGGGCGAGGCTAACCGCAATCACGAGACACTCATGCCGCGGTCTCTTGCCTGTTCAATCTGATTCTCCATGTCCTCTCTCAAGTGGTTGATGTACCTCAGCCGACCGCATGAGTGAACGCCTACATGCAACAATACATACATGCGGACATACATAGATGCACACACGTACATAGTTATACAGATACATATCCGCATGCTTTCACCTTACTTTCGACATTGCAGAATGTTGCAGAAGTACGAGCTTCAGCGAAACGAACTTGAACAACAGGCCATTGGCCAGGCTGCATGCTACGCCCATTGCACATCCGTGTCCTAGCGGTGAAGTTGACCCGGTGAAGTGCTCCCGGCAATAGTGCCCAAAGCGGAGGAGAGGGTCAACTACTCTTGGCAGAAATGTAAAGTAGTATCATTATCATACGAACCAACACAGACATACAGAGATAGGCACGTAAGATCACGTAAGCACGCACGAGCGTACGTACCTACGTGCGTACATACAGACCTACAGACATACATTTAGATCGAATATGTACACATTACATATGATTGCGTATGTGTATGAACACATATAAGCATACTGTCATACAGTTACATAATATATATTGTGATACTATATAAAAATACACTATGCATGGATACATCCATCCATCCATCCGTCCATCAATCACTCCGTCACTCCGTCCCTCCATCCCTCCATGCCTTCATCCCTCCATCGCTTCATCTCCATGTCATCCATGCCATCGATCCATCCACCCATGAATCCATCCATTCCTTCGTAGGCACATAGGATTGTAGGTAAGTCTGTCAGTCAGCCAGCCAGTCACTCAGTGAGGGAGTAGGTGAGTATGTATGTATGTATGTATGTGATTATTTGTATGTGCATATATATATATATACATATATATATACATATATATATATATATGTATGTGGGCCTGTGTGTAAGTAGCTGGAATTATGTGCAATTACGTGTGTATGTGCGTGCATGTGTGTGTGTGTG